AGCTTGACTAATTATTTTTGCAAAGGTGGAGTCAATATCCTTGACCAAAAGTAATTGCCAATTGAGTGACTGAAAACATTATTTCTGACTCGTTATTCATTCATTTCAATCAATTTGATTTAGAACAAACCAGCAAGGGCCGGGAGAGGGCAGGAAATAAACAGAGCAGGTCCCAGACCCTGTGAATGCTCCTTTGGAAACCCCTCTTCACAATCCTCCCCTGCCATGTCAGTGGCCATCACCTTAGCTTCACTTTTAGTGTCCGCATCATAGGTTTTCATTTTGGATGCCCCCATCATAGTTTTGCGCTCTTGGGACAAAAAAAGGTAAAACAAAACAACCTAAGTGAAACTCAGAACAGGCATCAGTTTCGTAAAAAAATTAGAATAGAGCAAAAAGGAACAGTGACTGGAAAATACAGGAGTGTCTTGCAAAAAGAAAACAAAATGGGGGGAGAACAAAGAAGCCTTTAAAGAAACTGGAATCCACTTGGCATCAGGTCTTGGATGCACCTCTTAGACCATGCTTCAACCCATTGTCTCAGGAAAGGCTGTGCTGGAGCCTGTTCTGCTCAAAACATCCTCTGATCCTCTGCTTCAATATTCTTGTTCTTCTCTGGTCTCCCTGGTCTTGACACTTGATTTTTTTGTCTTGCTTTGCCCATGTGGGTTAAATATTCTTCTAGATTGTCTACCTGGTTTGAGGTTTTCCCTTTGACAGTTTTTCTCAAGTTCTTCTTACACTACCCCTTAGATTATAGAACACAGAAAAATATCAGCTCACCCTCACACCCAACTTGGGCCTGCACACCTGCAGGTTGGGGCTGGCATTCTGGGCTCCTGCTTAGGTGGAAAGAGAACTCAGACACTACCTGGAGACTTAAGAACAGCATCTCTCAGAACCACTGGGATGAGCAGAAAAGTCATCTTATTTAAGGAGAAAGGGATATAGTTTTTTTTGTTCAAGACATCAAATCCAATGAACAAAGAACTGAGCTGGAGAAGAACCCTGAAAACAGAAGGCACACTAAATTTTATTTTTCCTGCAAAGGCGTTTGGTCAAAAATGGCAAACAGTTAAGTGATACCTGCCCAAATAATCATCTCTCACCGCTCTCCCCTCACATATAAAGACTGAGAAGTATGTTGCCTCTCCCTGGAAAAGACTCCTCAGCCATTCTTAATATTGAAAAAACAAACAACAACATTTTCAATCTTCAACACCTTTGCTGTAAGGTCCTTTCTTCAAATGAGGAAAACGCACTCCAGATTTTCTGCTGTATTGTACATCTTGATCATAGTTTAATGATGGGATGTTCTAGTTAGTTGTATGTCTGTTTGTTTCTCCAGCAGACTCTCATTTCGGTGCGGCTGGGGTCATATCTTTTTCACTTTGTATTCCTCACCCTTGCACAGAGTTATTCATCAAACAACATCTGAATGGGTGAAAATCTGAAGAGGAATCAGATTGCATCTTTTATCTTTACAAATTCATCTGTTTTTACTGACTATGCTGCTACAACCAGAAAACTGAGGCATGGGAAGGGGTCTTCAGATTGGACCCAAAGAGGCTTGAGAAGGGCGTGCGATTTGGAATAAATTTGAAATAATTTGAGATGTATTTCTAGCTTCCCTTTTAGGCTCTTGTTTACTGGAACACGAGGGGGAAACAGCACTGAAGGAGGTTTTTAGGAGTTTGAGTAGTGACCAGGCAAACGTTTGTCTCCCTTCCAGGAGCTGTGCAGGCTTAACCACTGGCTGGAGGCACTGACACAGTGTTGCTCATTTGTTCTGGTCCTTTCTTGACTACTCTCTAATTCTAAGAAGTGCAGGTGGGGAAAAAGCACTGGTCTCTGCTTCTGCCCTCTCCTCTTCCATCATCCTCTTTACAGCCCTGTTGGAGCAAAGTTCGCAGCAACATATTTCCCCAGTATGATAGGATTCTCAATGAATTCAGTTATGAAAACAATAGCTCACTTCTTATTCTTAGCATATTTCAGCCAAAAAATAAAGAAATGTAAGAAGGGGGACCAAGGTTGGGCGCGGTGGCTCAAGCCTGTAATCCCAGCACTTTGGGAGGCCGAGACGGGCGGACCACAAGGTCAGGAGATCGAGACCATCCTGGCTAACATGGTGAAACCCCGTCTCTACTAAAAAACACACAAAAAAACTAGCCGGGCGAGGTGGCGGGCGCCTGTAGTCCCAGCTACTGGGGAGGCTGAGGCAGGAGAATGGCGTAAACCCGGGAGGAGGAGCTTGCAGTGAGCTGAGATCCGGCCACTGCACTCCAGCCTGGGTGACAGAGCAAGACTCCATCTCAAAAAAAAAAAAAAAAAGAAGGGGGACCAAAATCGAACCCTTTTAGTCAACAGAGAAGCCAAAGACACCAAACGATAACATCTTGTACCCAGCATTGCCTCTTCATTGTACTGAGCAAGACTTTCTTTCTTTCTTTTTTTTTTTTTTTGAGATGGGGTCTCACTCAGTCACCCAGGCTGGAGTGCAGTGGCGCAATCTTGGCTCACGGCAACCACTGTCTCCTGAGTTCAAGGAATTCTCCCGTCTCAGCCTCTTGAGCAGCTGGGACTACAGGCACCCGCCATCATGACCGGCTAATTTTTGTATTTAAGTGGAGATGGGGTTTCACCATGTTGGCCAGGCTGGTCTTGAACTCATGACCTAAGGTGATCCACCCACCTCGGCCTCCCAAAGTGCTAGGATTACAGATGTGAGACACCACGCCCTACTCAAAGCCAGACTTTCTAACGTGGGATCACAGCACAGTTGTCCTTGTTTGGATTCCCCTACCTACCTTCGCATCTCACTCACATGCTGCATCTTCACAGCCAGGGCCTGTTTCCAGGTTTAAGCCCGGCAGGCAGGGTTTGGAAGTGATACAGCCCGCTAGTATCTCTGCTTTACCCATAGGAGACTGCCTTGGGTTCCAGCCAGGCTGTTAGTCCGCAGGTATACCCAACAGTTCCAAAGAGACAGCGACCATCAAGAAGGATCCATGATGACGATGGCGGTTTTGTTGAAAAGAAAAGGGGGAAATGTGGGGAAAAGAAAGAGAGATCAGACTGTTACTGTGTCTATACAGAAAGAAGTAGACATAAGAGACTCCATTTTGTTCTGTATTTGAGATGCTGTTAATCTGTAATCCTACCCCCAACCCTGTCCTTGCAAGAGACATGTGCTGTGGTGACTCAAGGTTTAAAGGATTTTGGGCTGTGCCGGGTGTGCTTTGTTAAACAAGTACCTGAAGGCAGTATGCTTGTGAAAAGTCATCACCATTCTCTTAATCTCAGGTACCCAGGGACACATACACTGCAGAAGATCACAGGGACCTCTGCCTAGGAAAGCTAGATATTGTCCAAGGTTTCTCATGAGATAGTCTGAAATATGGCCTTGTGGGAAGGAAAAGACCTAATCCTCTCCCAGCCTGACACCCGTGAAGGGTCTGTACTGAGGAGGACTAGTATAAGAGGAAAGAAGGCCTCTTGGCGGTTGAGATAGAGAAAAGCCTCTGTCTCCTGCCCATCCCTGGACAATGGAACATCTGGGTGTAAAACCTGATAGTATGTTCTATTTACTGAGAAAAGAGAAAACAGCCTTAGGGCTGAAGGTGGGACGTGCTAGTGGCAACGCTGCTCTTTATGCACTAAAAAGGTTTATGGAGATGTTTTCATATGCATATCAAGGCACAGCGCTTTTCCTTAAACTTATTCATGTCACAGAGATCTTTATTCATATGTCTTACTGCTGACCTTTTCCCTACAATGATCCTATTATTCTGCCACTTCCCGTTTTCTAAGATGGTACAGATAATGATCAATAAATACTGAGGGAACTCAGAGACCCGTGCCGGTGCGGGTCCTCTGTATGCTGAGCGCCGGTCCCCTGGGCCCACTTTTTCTTTCTCTATACTTTGTCTCTGTGTCTCATTTCTTTTCTCACGTCTCTCCTTCCACCTAAGGAGAAACGCCCACAGCTGTGGAGGGGCAGGTCACCCCTTCAGGATCACAGCACAGTTGCCCTTGTTTGGATTCCCCTACCTACCTTCGCATCTCACTCACATGCTGCATCTTCACAGCCAGGGCCTGTTTCCAGGTCTAAACACGGCAGGCAGGGTTTGGAAGTGACACAGCCCGCTAGTATCTCTGCTTTACCCATAGGAGACTGCCTCAGGTCCCAGCCAGAAGCCTTTCTCTTTATACAACTTCCTTATGGTTCAGAAGTAACAGGATTCTATTTAAATCTATTGGGAGGCACCACCACAACCACCAACAACAAAAAACCCACTTTTTCTTTTCTTTCTTTTTTCTCTTTTTTTTGAGAGAGTGATTTTTTTAAATTGAGGTACAATTTACATAACAAAAAATGAACTATTTTAAAGTGGACAAATCAGTGCAGTTGTGTACATTCACATTCCTATTGTACATAGCACATTCACAGAGTTGTGCGATCATCACCTCTACCTAGTTCCAAAACATTTTCATCACCCCACAATCAAACTAAAAAAAAAAATCAATTTCCTCTGTTTTAATGGATTTACCTGCTCTGGATATTTAATAGGAATGGAATCATACAATATGTGACCTATTGTGTCTGGCTTTTTTTTTTCCACTGAGCATTAGCTTTTCAAGTTCATCCATATTGTAGGAGGCATTCCTCATTCCTTTTGGACTGAATAACATTTTTAACAACTTGTAGATGAATAAAAATAAGGACTTATCCAATGCAGGCATTTGAGGATATAGTCACTGCAGTCAAGATGAATAAATGTCACAGTGGGAGGGAAATGAAGAGGAGGAGGGGATGTGGGAGGATGAAGAAAATACAGATTGAGAAGCAGAAGCTCCAAGCTGTTCTGCCTGCTGAGAAGAGTTTTTCTCTCTCTCTCTCTCTGTATGATTTCCTCAAGAGAGCACAGGCCCCAGAGTCACAAAACCAGCTCTGGAGTCCTCATTCTGCCATTCACTCCTTACATGTCCCTGGAAAAGTGACTTTGAGTGTTAGTCTCCACATTGTAAAATGGAAATAATAACACCTGTGCCCTCAATTTCAAAAATATTTGTGAGCACCAAATAAAAATTGTTATAAGCTGTGAAGTGTGGTTGAAGTGGTAGTTACTTATTTCTCTCTACAACTGCTCAGGGAGGAAGCCCAGCTGATGTAGGACCCTCCTTAGTGATGATTTCACCTCCTTATTCCTGAGACTGTAGATTAAGGGGTTCAGCATGGGGGTGACCAGATTATTCAGAATCTGAACAGTTGCATCCAACCAGGGGCTGGGGGTTGGCCTCAGGTAAATGAGGACCACTGGCATGTAAAAAAGCAGGATGGCAGTGAGGTGGGCACTGCAGGTGGAGAAGGCATGGTGTCGGCCCTCGGCAGAGTGGATCTGCAGGATGGAGAAGACGATGCGACTGTAAGAGGTGAGGACGAGAAGGAAACAGCTGAGGGGCATCAGGCCCACGCTGATGAACCCCACCGTCTCCAGGGCTGAGGTGTCTGCGCAAGCCAGCTTCAGCATGACTGGGATATCACAGAAATAATAGTCCACCTCATTGGGGCCACAGTAAGGCAATTGGAAAGTGAGAGTGGTCAGAAAGGTGGCCTGAATGCAGCCAAAGAATGAGGTCCCCATGGCTAGGATGACGCACGCTCTGTGGCTCATGATTACGGTGTAGTGTAGAGGGTGACAAATGGCAACAAAGCGGTCGTAGGCCATCACCGTGTACAGGAAACACTCAGTGCAGCCCAGGAAATGGTAGAAGAAGAGCTGGGATGCACAGCCTGCATAGGAGATGGCTCGGCTGTTCCCTGAAAGATAGCACAGCATCTTAGGGGAACTCACAGAAGGGAAAAATATGTCAAAAATAGACAGTTTGCACAGGAAGAAGTACATGGGCGTGTGAAGCCGAGCGGAGGAGACAATAGCCAGCAAGATGAGCAGGTTCCCCATAAGGGTGAAGATGTAGAAGGACAAAAACAGGACCAAGAGCATAGTCTCCAGACCCTCCGTGTGCGGGATGCCCAGCAGGATGAATTCGGACACCACCGAGAGATTCTTCATGACTGTGAAAACATCTAACCTTGAAAAGGTACCCAAGACACCGAAGTCTAAATACCAATGTCAAGTTCTCAAGCTTTTTGCTGATGAGTGCTTTGGCTATGTTTTTAACAAGGAACAACCTGCCATCTTATGAAAGGCAAGACAGAGATTCATGTAAAAAAAAAAAATCAGATAATAAGGAAATGCCTATTTTAGAGTCAGTCTATTCAACTCATGGAAGGAATGCTTTGTAAAGGCAGATGCTTGTCTTCTACAGGATGAGAAGTTTAGAGGCATATTTAAAACAAGTTAGAAGCCTATGTACCATGGATTTATTCTTTTCGAGCATATTTACTATTTGAACTCTTGTGATGTCTTTACATAAGAAACTTCCACTATCCATTGTCCTCTGCAACGTAACAGAAAAATAATTATGTTAGAAACCGGAAAACTTACTATGAATCCTGGCCTTTCCATTTATTAGCTATACTTGTTAAAACAATTTACATGCATCTTTCATAAACTTAGTTTCATCATCTGCCAAATGGAAATCATACTTATTATAACATCGGTAACACAGATATCCTAGTATTAAAGTTTATGAAGTATCTGCTAAAATGTCTGGCAAAACTATGAACCCTAATGAAAAGTTTTTTCCTTTCTTCCGTAAGTTATTGGGGTACAGGTAGTTTTTAGTTACATAAGTACATGATTTAGTGGTGATTTGTGAGATTTTGGTGCACCCATGACCTGAGCAGTATACACTGCACCATATTTGTAGTATTTTACCCCTCACCCCACTCCCACCCTTCCCCCCAAGTCCACAAAGTCCATTGTATCATTCTTATGCCTTTGCATCTTCATAGCTTAGTTCCCTTTATTTTATGTATCTTAAACTTAATTCTTAAGTACCTTCCTTTAATGTTTGTATCCTGTAATTATTTGCAAAAAATATTTTATTAAATAACATCATTGAATAGATTTAAGATTACATACTCTTCAGATTACATCTTTCTAGACTTGAAAGGTCAAAGATCTCCAACTCTAATAAGAGATGCTGTTCTGGTTCTTCTGTTTCTAAGCCGACTTAAGATGACTGAAATATTGAGAAGCAGTATCAGCAAGGAAAGCATCCAATTCATGTTCCCGTAATGAAGTAAGAAATACAGTGATCCATGTAAAGAAAGGCAAAGAACAGCACTAATGAGGTAGGTTACATAAGTTAAGAGCAGAGTATAGCACCTGAAAGATTCAGGGATCTCTCATTACTCAGTTAGTAATAATAATGGTAATACACACATACACACACACACACACAGACACACACACACACACACACCATTTAATGAATACTTACTGTGTTCCAAGGACAGGCTCAGCGTTTTAAAATTTATTATTTATTTTTAAAGTATACCTATAAAAAGAAAGTACTATTATTATTACTGTTCTTATCTATAGATAGGAAAGTGAAGCTTAGAAAAATCAAGCACATTTCTCATGCTTAAAAAGCTAGTATGTGACAGATTTGTTTAATTCCATTTCCTGTGTCCTCAATCATTAGGAAATTGTGCCCTCTGTTTGCCTCTGCTTTCTAAGACAGCCTTGCTTGGAAAGGTACCCATTGCTTGGCAATGACACTCTTTCCAGATGCATTCATATAATTGCTTTATATTAAGGTAGGAAAAGTCTTCATGTCCTATTTCCTCCTGGTCATTTTCAGTCTTGACTTTAGAGCCCAATTGATAAATACCTCATTTAGTTTTAGAGATCACATAACAGGTGTTTTCTACCCCTTTAACACTAGACCTTAGTATCAGCTCCAATTCAGGAGCTTTCAAGTTGCGGAGCCACATTCAACATAGGGATCTCAATCATAAGCTGTGGCAAGTGTCATGGAAAAGTACCTCTAAAGAGAATGACCAAGCCAGAATGAGTCACCCACATATTACCCAAGAACTCGGCAAAAGTAAAGACAGTATAGAAACAGTGACATTCTGGGGAAGAAATGCTTCTGCAGTCTGCCCCTTGTTATTAATTCTAGCCACACCTGAATCGTCTCTCTGAGAAACACAGATTCCTGTGAGTTTCATCTCTTTGGTTAGCAAAGGCAAGAGGGAGAGCATCTGGTTCTTGCCTATGATCAGACACAATGATATCCTGTGATTCCATAATTTGATTTTTAAGTCCATTTCAGAAAGAAGTCACCAAAGACAAGGAAGATCTCCATGTGTGAACCCATTAGTGTGTGAGGGGAAGAGGCTAACAGTGAGACATAGGTAGAAGTTTGAATACTCACACAGTCCACCTGAGAACACAGTCAAGTTTTCCAACTGTTGTAACAAGATCTCACATTTACTTTTTCTCAGCAGAGTACAGTGTGCTCCAGCCAGAGGAGCCTTAATTCTCCTATTTATAAAGAATCAAATCTCATAGGATTTGTACAGTCAAGACCCGTACACACTCACTCTCTCTGGATTGCTTTCTTGAAATTTCTTTTCAGAACCCCTTAAGCCCTACTTGGGACTCAGTGATAGCTCTGAGGGAGCAATTAGTTTGTCAGTAGCATTCATCACCCAATCATGAGATAACAGTAATAATATCATTGGAAAGTGATGCTCTAAAGTGGGAAATATGTTCCCCCAAGACTGTTTACATAGTAGAAAAGCACTAGTTTTAACATTAGATCTCTTGCATTGCTATCCCTTTGTTTGGTTGTCTGTTACACCTTCAAGTCTTTGCTCCAATTCAGATCAATATCATAAGTTCACGATCTCATGATAGTTTGTGTTACCACTTGCCTCATCACTTTTCAAATTATGTATACATGCATGTGACTATATGGCTAGCTCTAATAAACATCACTATTCAAGACAGAAGCCTAATCAGTAGTTATTTATTATGCATCTACTATCATGATGTATCTTCAAGTCATTACTCCTACAGAAAAACAGTCTCACATACTGGACACATTGCTGGGAAGATGACCAGTATAAATAGAGGAGCTATAAACCAAAAAACAATCAACTAAACTGTTATTATTTAATTAACAATCCACTGTAAGTACTTACCATAAACTGTCATGCTAATGTATTTAATTCATTGTTACATTTAATCTCCAAATGAAATTTTAGGAAGTAGATAGTATTATTTGACAAAGAAACTGGACAACAGATTAAATAATCTAGAGATTACACAACTAGAAAGTAAATGAGCTGAGATTGTAATTTCAAAGCCAATTCTTTTAAGCACTAGGCTATGCTGAATTACAGAGATTTGAGTCTTGCACCAAAAGAGGAGAAAGAGATTTAATGTGGTCTTCAAATCCTTGCAAAGCTGGTAGGTAGACTAGGTAGGAGTTGTTTTACACAGACTCAAGAACCATGGGCAGATGTAGTAGAAAAATAGATTTGTTTTCAATGTAAAAAAGAATTGTTTAATTATTAGAAATTTTACATCAATGAAATAAGCAACCTTTTGATGTAATGATCTCATCACTGGAAGTATTCAAGAAGAGGTAAAGAGAACCATCTTTCAGGTATACCATTAAGGATATTCTCAATTTGAATGAATAACATGAATTCAAAAACCTTAACGTTTTTTCTTAGTATGAAATTATTTGATTTTATTTCCACCATAAAACTTTTCAATGATTCTGACCTAACACCATACAAGTGGAGCTTTAAATTAATGATGATAATTCAACTAACCCCTAAAGCAAAAGCAATTATGAATATGCCCATAGCAGTTACAAAAGTAGTTACAAAGGTTACAAAACTATTACCGTTGTAATACCAAAGCTGTTGCTGAAGCATTTTTAAAAGAGGAGAAAAGTAGGTTGTGGAGGGTGTATGGACACTGCTCAGATAGAGGCTCAGAGGATGAACGCGGTTTGTTGGGATGTCTTAGTAAGTACATCACATTTTAAATAATAGCTAACATTTTCTGTGGATTTGTTGTATACTGGAATTGTGATGAGGGCTCTGTATTTAATATCTCTCAATATTTACCAAAAATTTATTTCTATCTATTTTTTAATAGTAGAAAGCTTAATCTCAAAGACTTTAATTAACATAACCAAGGTAACAGAGTGGGTTAATGATAGAGTTGTATCTCAAATCTAGAATAATATGGCTTCTCCCTTTGTGTTATAAAGACAAATAAGTTTATTACTAATTTTGATTTTCAAATACTTATTAATAATTAATAGCACCTAACATTTGCAGTTTTTCTAGTTTTCCAATACTCTTTTATGTAGTTCTAATTAATTCTTAAGAGCTGTGTAAGGTGGATTTTCTTAACTCCACTTTACAAATAAGGACATTAAACCTCAGAGCAATTCTGGCTTTTCTAAAGTTAGACAGTAGAAGAGCCCAGGCATTCCCAGGTTTAGCTGTCTTTCCACTACATCATCACTGCTTCCCAAAGTGACTCTATACAGAAAGCAGCTGTCTCTGGATGAGAGACAAATTATTAATAGACTCATTTGGATATTTGGTTAAGCCTTCTGTATAACCTTATGGTCATTACTGTTTTTATCGTGGATTCCCTGACAAGATTATGGCATCAAAATATAATGAGATAGGCTGGGCATGGTGGCTCATGCCCAGCACTTTGGGAGGATGAGGCAGGTGGGTCACTTGAGGTCAGGAGTTCAAGACTAGCCTGGCCAACATGGTGAAACCCCACCTCTACTAAAAATGCAAAAATTAGCCGGGCATGGTGGCACGTGCCTGTAATGCCAGCTACTTGGAGGCTGAGGTGACAAAATTGCTTAAACTAGGTGGGTAGAGGTTGCAGTGAGCCGAGATCATACCACTGCACTCCAGCCTGGTGACAGAGCGAGAGTCTGTCTCAATAATAACAATAAGAATAAGATAAAGTGTCAGAGAAACAGAGAGAGTGACAGAAACTTATTTAGCTCATGTTTTGTTTCCTACGGAAAAAGTCCCACTAGAAAGTTTACTACATATTTCTCAAACGAGGTCTCTTGCCGTGGTATGACTTGTGGCAAAATTTGCATTATATTTCCATCGTCTTTGTTTAAGTCTGCTTAATTTAATTACTTTTTTTCCTACTCCAGGTATTCAAGTAAGTCAAGACATAGTCTAGCAACAACTGATTCCTCAACTAATCCTTCAGCAAAATTTTCTGTTTATAAATAGCAAGCTTAAGTCTAGGCGTTCTTGATCCAATG